AAAAAAAAAACAAACTCAAATAATATTTTCTTTCATTTATTTTTAGTAGATCATTTCAACAAAAATCTTTTATTTAACAAAAAAGCTTTTTAAAAAAAATCCGAATATCTTTATCAATTTGATTTAATTCATTCATTGTTGCATTTCCATATTCTTGAATTATTTTACCATCTTGTTTTACTGTTATATGATGTTTATCTCCATATATTTTACTCATTGTTTCAGTTTTGTATATTTTCATTTTGATTTGATGGTTATTGAATTTGTTTTTCAATAACACATCTTTCCAATTATGTTGTTTCTCGTTTCATTGTTGTTATTATAAAAGTTCTTGGAAATGCTTCATTAAGATCATGTTTTTCTATAGTAGAGTCAGGATTTTCATCACCATGATGATTATCTACAAACGATATTAATTTAAGAAAATTCGTTTTTAGAATAGGTTTTTGTTTTATTTTTACTTTGAAACTCTGTAGTTGAGAAACAGGAGAAAAGTCAATCGAAATCAACGAAGATTTTTTCAATTGGGGAAAATAAGCCATTGAATAGAAAATCATCTTTATTATCTTCCATTTTAGTTTTTAGAATGAAAATTTATTTCTCATTGTTTATTTTTATTTTTATTTCAATATGAAGAAATCTATTAAAAAAAAGGATATCGCTAGACATTTAATTATCTCTTAGTCTTATTAATGACTTAATAGATGTGCGTAGGTTACTAATTGAGTTAGTCAATCGAGATATTGCAAAGGTTGAATTTCAAATGAAACCATGTCGATAAAATTTCTTAAACAATTATAAATTACTCAGTTACATCGATATCGTTTTATAAACCGAGATCATTTATCTTTGTATATTATCATAGAATTTCAATGTCTACTGAAGTGAACTTATTTCAAACAAATGTATTGATTTTAAATTTTCGTTTTAGAAAAGGATTTCTTTATCTTGAAATAAAACAAAAAACGTTTTAATGATAAGTTACTTTTTCAAAATGATCAATATATGCATTAAAAGTTAATAATAATGATAATAGAATTAGAATTCCAATTTCAGTCGCTTTTGTAATTCGACATAATTGTTCTATAAATTCCGATAAATGAGCTGCACCGGATAATGGATTTTCACTAAACAAGAATTAAAGATTACTTTAAATTAAATTCGGTTTCATTTTTAAATTTCATACCGATAAATGTGGTACATTGGATGCAGCACAAATATTAAATGGATTATATTCATCATAATTTAATGGATGTTCATCAATTGGATTTTTTTCACAAACATTTAATACTCTTCGTGTCTAAACAAAATAATACAAAAAAAAAATTATTTTTTTGTTCCCCTTCTAAAATAATTCAATCAAAATTATGTTT